AGGTATGGGGTCGCTTCCCAAGACTCACTCTCGTGTGCCTCTGCATCATCCACTCTTTAATAAGCACATATTAGGAATCTTGCCCAAAGGTGAAGCTACTAGGCACCTATCTGCTCCCACTGAGGGGGGAGCACAAGATGCACACTCCATGGGACTCACTGGGAACAGACACTGGCACTCCTCAGTTCCCAAATGGAAAATCCATGCAGGAGGCTGCTGGTATTTTACAGATCACAGGTGAATCATGGGTGAGTTTTCTAACATTTCGTTGGCTTTTTCCCATGAATCACCTATCATGAAACTAAGGCTTTGGGATGGTTTGGCAGTCCAAGGGAGGAGGAAGGGGGGGTTCTGTTTATTAAGACAATGCTGGGAAGGCTGACGTTGGAACTGCAAGTTCAACTGCTGTGGGGTTAACCAGGCTGTTTCATTCCTAGAGTGGAAAGCATCATGAGAAGCTGTGTGTTCCAACGACTCCCCTTTCTTCTCTGTAAAATGTGGGTTGCGGGGGGAACCCAGGAGTCTTGGGTCCTGGGTATGGCTGATCTGAACAAACTCCACAAAGGAAAGCAGCTAGGTGACCTGGCTGAGTTCCTGAGCCCATCACAGACACCTGCGCCAATGGCGTCTGTACTCTAAAGCCCTTCAAAACCCACACTCTGTTCCTGAACTTCCTCAGCACCGCAGGTGAACTTTTAAAGCCTTCCTTTCTCCCCTCCAGGTGCTGTTTGGGAGAATTAACTCACTGGCATCCTGGAGAGGAGGAGAAAACTTTGAAGGTTTCTGTTACATAATTTTTGTGTCCCTTGTCAGGAGGTATGGGTTAGCAGTGCCTTCCAAAGGGGCCAGGTGTCATCCTGCCATTTCCCACAGAACCCCAGGGGCATGTGGAAGCTGGTGGAGTTATTTTAGTTTTCCCCAAACAATGACTAACACCAACCCTTTTAAGGTTATACTTTGCTTAATTCTGACTCTCTTTAGGGACGAATGTAGTTGACATCATAAAGTTAAAAGAAATCTGATGTCCTAAAAAAAGGGGGGGGAAAAACAGTAAATTCAAAAGTCTATCAATAGCTGAATCACTCCGTATATTCCCAACGTCAAATCTCCCACATGCTTTGTTTAGTGCAGTGGCATATATTTAAAAATTGGGAAGGAAGGACACCGTTTGGTTAGCAGAGACACCATCACGCTGGGGGAAAATAAGCTACAGGATGGGGTGTTCAACCCCAACATTACACTCAGAGCATCGTGCTGGGTTCTGCCACTTACCAACTCTTTGAGTCTGAGCAAGACTCATCAGTGCTCATGACGTGGACAGAGTCTGCTTTGTAGGTCAAGGACAAGATGTTGGCCTGGTGGGTATTTTTTCCCACTCTGTGTGAAAATCACTTCATCAGGAAACCTTGATCCCAGGCAACTTGCTGCCTACGCAACATGAAGAAGACCGTACACAAAGATGGCAAAAATACCAAGCCACTGAATCCATGAACGACATCTCAGCTGAGTTCAAGGCTCTAATTAAAGTACTTTCCATTTTCAAAACAAATGCAAACAGCACTTCCTTCCTTGTCTTCAAGGAAAAGCCTAGAGTGAGGCAAGATCCCCAAGTCTTTGAGGCTACACAGATAGGAAGTCATCCTTCCTACCCCACTGACCCAAATTATGTAACAGTTAGTGTGTCTCCTGCCGCTTGAACCCCAGAGTGGGTCACGGCTCATCTTGGGGCCATCAGATCTATGCAAGGGGGCCCTGCAAGGAAACTGGCATGTGTCCCCCAAGATGAGGGTTCTGTCATTATGCACTTAGGGCACTGAGTCTTCACTTAGTCTAACAAAATGTACCCTTTAAAGTAACTAGGTCTTTATTGTTTATATGGATGTCTAATTGAAAGCCTTATGTAACCTTAGAGCATTCTGGAGCTATTAATAACCAGCTGTATACAAATTCTAAAGTTTCTTCAAGTGTAGCATTAAAGGACATCATCTACTACTAACCACACACACACAGAGACATATACACCCACTGCAGAGAGGTGAGCCCAGACCCCGAGCGTGAGAATAAATTGTCCCAGGCCATGAAGCCAAGTAGCAAGAGGATGAGTGGCAGTTTCTCGGCCTTTTCCTTTTCCTGTACACCTCAGTGTGTGATATGTCCAAGCATGCTCTTCAGGGACACTCACACTGTGGCTCGGAACATCTCAGAAACCTCACAGTGCTGAGTTCGAGCCTCGAGCAAAGGAGCCATGGTCTAAGTCCCATACATGGGGCAAGCACGCAAAGGAATTGTCTTCACTTTGTTATTTATCCATGACCCATACCATCCTCCTGCTTCCCCGTATAAATCTAGGCATGTCAGACATATCTTAACAGGAGGCCACTCTGGGTGTGGAAGGGCGTAGCAGTTGAGACTTCCCTGAAAAGAAGTGGGTTTAGCCATGCAAAACCGAAAAGGAAGAATTCACGGTTCGCTGCACATTTCCTGACAGGGTGCACGCACGTTCGGAAAAGCGGAGAAAGTGTGAGGAAACTGATGAAGAATTAAATACCAGGACCAGGATCAGCGGTGTATTGTGTAATCCGGCTTTCAGGCACTGGAAGAATGATAGAGGATCCAAAAATCGTTATTTCATAATTATGTTGTCACATTCAGGAGCAACCTAATGAAGGTTGTTTCTCTACATCCATTTTTATTCAAAACGGTTCCTGTTAATCATGAGGGCCTAAAACACAACTTTGGAGATTAATATCACCACCAAGATGTATGGTTTTCCCCTTCACAGGCCCTACCAGCTTATAAAGAAAAAACCAACAGAAGCTTTGCTTTTTTGGTTTGTGAATTTCAAATAGCCAGTGGGAACAGAGTTTCTGAGAAAAAGGTGGCATATGTCCATTTGATTTGGGATTCAGAAACACTTTCAAAGTTTCATTAATCCACATCTTTAAAAAACTGATGACAACCTCACTAATGGCACAGGTCAGTTTGATGCATTTAGCTATAAGTAACAGTAAAAAAAAAAAAAAAAAAAAAAAAAAAGCTAGGCGTGGTGGCGCATGCCTTTAATCCCAGCACTCGGGAGGCAGAAGCAGGCAG